TCAAGCGCATTTATCAACATCTAATCATTAGATGTTCGAAATGATTAAGATGCATTTAGTTTCTGGCTTGATTTCGAAGTTAATTACTCTTTCGATTCTCCTTGAGCGTGAGAACTGAAGATTTCTCTTTACTCGACTTTGATGACATAAGATTTAGCAGCCTTCTCTTTCTGACAATTTCTTTACCGATATCAAATTTTTCTTTCCTTGTAGGGTCATAATTATTGTTTTTTCGAAGAAAGCCGAATAAAATTATTTTCTGTACATTGTATTTTAATATTTTAAATTACTCAAGTTGTCGATTTAAGATCTGCTACGAGTTTTCCTGACAACGGCCAATAGAAACAAGTATGTTGGTGGAGTAATGGATAGCGGCTCGGATTGAGGAATTGGAGAGTTCCAATTCCAGTCGAATCCATTACTTACGTGTTAATACCCTTCTTCTCCCACTAGCTATGAATAAATAGCAGGACAGATCGGGTTTTATAACCTTGGATGACAATTGGTCTACCGCAGAAAGAAATGGCAACCTACTGCGGGAAAAAATCTGTTTCATCAGTCATGTATCGAAAGATACATGATCGCCTAAGCGTGTATCAAGTATGGCACATAACTGACTGATGTTGATGGCATTTACTTATTAGAATATTTTTCTTTCCAAAGAATAATCGTGAAAATGTTGATAGTAATTCTTTCACTTCCTCATCCGACCCCAAATGAAATTTCACTGTCTTGCAGAAGCACAACAATATTGTAGTAGTAAGTAAAGATAATTTCCTCCCGATCTCTGGGCTTGTACGTAGTCTTCCGATGTTTGTTTAGAGCTAATTTCAGCGTGACTTAACAGATTGATACAATACCATTAGTGATGGGCGAACAACTACAAAATGAATTTCAATTTTCAACAAATGAATTAAACATGAAAAGCAAAGCTCTTACTAAACAGTCGGTTTTTGCTACAGCGAAATCAGAAGTTGTGTCTAATAGGCTTGGTGTATAATTTCCATTCTCTCTCTCTCTCTCTAACAAATAGGGCATGAAACTTGTCTCTCGAAGGGTTTGGAAGTCAATGAAGCAGCAGTATATTCATACATCTAACCCCCGCTCCTATAGCCACTACTATTTCACCATGAGGCACAGTCCGACTTAGCCGTTTTGTCAAATCTTATCTTTACTGTTCGTAATCGACTGTTCAGTTTGTCGGTAATGTTGAGAAGAATCAAGTGTTGCCTCGATGTAAAATATAAATGAGATTTGACCAGCTTTATTGAGAGACGAGCTGGCTCAATTAGCTGGTAATGATGATTCTTTCTTTTTTGGTCGAACACACACACACACTTGTAAATGCCCCCACTTCTTAGCAACAGTGTTTTAGCATTGATATTACCGGTGTGTGTGTGTGATACTGAGTTGTTGTTCTCCTCTTTCTGATTCTCTTTTCATTCCGGTTTCAAGGTATCTCTCCTTTTTGGCTGTTACACACGCGACCACATGTCGGACTTCTGCAAATTATTGATTAATCACTGGCCACTGCTAATGACTGCCGAGCTGTGTGAGAAGTGCAAGCTCTGACAACAAAGCAAACGATAAATAGCGACTACAGCGGTGGGTGCAGCTATCTGGTTGTTGCAGAGGCAAAAGACTATAGGAGGGTGCGAGGAGGTGTCTGAGAGAGAGAGAGAGAGATACATACACGCACACTCACTCACTATGTGCAGTCGCGCGCACACACGGTCACACACCCGCACGAATGGAGCGACAATTTTCTATTTGTTGCTCCCTCTTTCTCGTGTTGAAAGAGAAAGAGTGTCACCAGTTGATGATATTATTATAGCCTAGGAAATCTTCTTGGGTGAATTTGAAATCAACATTGAAACACATCCGTAAAGTGCAGCTTCGTTGGTTGCATTTATTTATTTATTTTTTAATTCTGAGTAGTGATAATTCATCATGCTATATTTACTAATTCTTATTGGTAACTATTTGGATTATTATTAATTTGCTTAACAATTGTTTTTTTTTTCGCTGAATAGACGATTAGTTAATAAATATTCACTTTCACAATAACTAATCAGCACTGCAATAAGTTCCCAAATATTTAGACATACGAATAAATATGGATTTAAAATTTTGTTTACCATGTTGAGGAAACTTTTTTCTCGTATTATTTATCACGTACAAGATTAAAAAACGTTAGCAGTATTAAAAGTTCTTTGAAAACCGTAACGTCTTTCTGTTGGATGTCTAGAATTTTCAAACCATCGATAACTGAATCATATTGAAATTTTAGGCTTTTATTTTCAATTATCTCGTATTTTTTATTTATTTATTTTATTTTCTGCCATTACCTTGAAATTTTATCTGAAATCGCTCTTTTAAATATATTTTTTAAGTTCCACAAATCAGTATCTATCATTCGCCCTATTTGTGTGAGGGAATTTCAAAAAAAAAAAAAAAAACCTGATCAAATAAAATCAGAGAACTATTTTATCATGACATGTTCAAGTGTGTCGTGACCGGCAACTATTTCCTAAACTACCATTCACCCCCCCCACCTCCCTCTCTCTCTCTCACACTCACACACAATTATAATGAAAGTGTGAATGAGACGAGAGAGGTAACGCAGATCTAATGAGTTTTCAATACTCAAACACGTTTATACACACAAAAATCCAAATATTTCATGACCTAGTCAGGATACCATGCTGGGTCCTTCGTATCAATTTTTGGGCTAAATGGGGTTTACTACGTGGAGCCGGTCTCCATTCCAAATTACAATCAATATTGGGTTCCATGATACATCGCAGCATGGCGAATCATCCCCGACCTAAAATCTTCATCATACGTTTTCCAAAATTTATTTATGCGAAATATACACAAAAAAATACCTTATCCAGCTTGTCGATTCCATATTTCCTTGTTAACCGTTTTAGCCGACTCCTTTATTTTACAATGAATAAATTATGTTCTCCATGTCATAATCAAGTCGAAAATGATTTGCGATGAAATACTTTTTATTACGGTACCGACACTGAATATGACCAGCTATGTAACAGAATTTTATTTTATTTTTTCGTGCCAGTTATTTTTAAATTTTTTTCCCCAGTAGAGCACATTGTTTTGTTAGTTATCCACAAGGTCAATTTCTGATTTGAAAACCTTGCCCCTTAAAAAAAAAAAAAAAAAATATGTCGCTTTTCTTTTGTCTTCCAGTTAGTGCAAATAGTAAAGGAGACTTGTTTCTTTGTGTATCTTTATGCTTCTTCCTGAAATACATAAAAAAATATCTAGTGCTACATTTCCTTGTTATTCGTTGACAAGCCTTTACTACACGATATTTTAAACTCTCACTAGTCTAAGGTTTTTTTTTTTTTTTAAATCTAAGTTTTCTATCATTTGTTTTTCTCCTTTTCCTCACTGAAATAATGTTAAAAATAAAAGTTGATTGCATTTTTTTTTCTTCAGAAATCCTCAGATGCCCATACATTGTAATTGCAGGAAAGCCCTTTCCGCTATCTTAATTTTACCATTTATGAAACAGTATCAGTGTATAAGTGTTAAATGTTCTCCTTTCTTTACCCTAAAAATGATTTGTGTGTGTAACCAACCAAACTCGTAGGTGATTTTATGGGGAAAAAAAAAATAACAACTAGATTTGACGCTGAACCTAAAGTGATTTTGGGGGGAAAATAGTAAGGTTTTATTGGCCAGAAGTAGATAAAAAAAAATTGTTGTGAAAATGAACAGAAGACCACTGAAATACAAGATTTACTTACTTAGTACTACGTATTTCCTCATGGGATGTTGTGAAAGAAGATATTGAATTTTTGAATTAGGAATTTTTGCAATTTTCTTTTAAAACCACAAAACAAAATTATATCTCCTTGTAAACACCCCAACTAAAGTGTTTGTTTTTTTTGTTTTTTTTACTGTGATAATGATGTGGTGTATTGCAATAATTGCACTTATTTCATATTCATCCATAATTGCCATGTTGTAAAGTTGTTTAAATTTATGTGTAAAAAAAAACCTTATTTTTTAACATAGATCTTTTTTCTTAGCACGACGACGACTAGCGATCATAATGAAATGCGTGTGTGTTTTTCTTTTCTCACCACGTTCTACTGATGTTAGTTTGGCACTTCTTTGTTCTTGAGGGCGGGGTTTACTCATCCTTTCCTCTTTCCATCATACCGTTTTGTTTTTGTTTTCATCTCGTTACACACACACACACATATATATATATATATATATATATATATATATATATATATATATATAATCCTGTTGCGTATATGTGTTTTAACTTTACAGTCTCAGTCTAATTATTGATTATCTCTCGTCAGCACTCATGCCAGCCTGTGCGAATTCGACTAACTTGTAGCAGTTGTCTTAACCTCACGTCCCCCTTCTTCTTCGTTCTCAATCATCGCTTTCAGACCACCCCTTTTCAGCTCCTTGTCTGTCTCTGTGTATGTGGCCTTTGCAATATATGCACATAGAACCATGTGCGTTTAGTTGATATATTTACTCTTCCTTCAGTTTATCTGGTTTCTCAATTTCAGATATTGAGCTTCTTTTCACACACACGAGTGCGTGTGTGTGTGAGTGTGAGAGAGAGAGAAGAGTAGAAGCCGTTTTACGTTTCACTTATCTCTCCTCTTCCTTCTTGATTCCCTCCGTCCCCGACCTTTTCATATATAACGCATCCACAGTGGTGGGCAGCAGTAGAAACAACTCTAACAGTAGTAATAGTAGTACTGTTCGTTGTAATCATAATCATAGTTGAAAGACAGTAATACGAGTGCTGCTGCTAGTACTACTACTACTACTACTACTACTACTCCAACCAGCATTCCTCGGCTCATGCTGCTGCTGCTGCTTACTATGTGCTGGCTGGCTCTTGGTTCATAACTGTGTGCCTAAGCCACAGAAGGCTTGCGCTCTCTCCACAGATGGCCAAGTTACTGGTCTGTTGTCAATATGTGTTAGGCGTCTTGATGGAGGATGCGGAGTACCCAGGGATGACTAGGATGGATTCTATGCTAGCAGGTCCGGCCAGCCCACCTGAGAAGAAGCTAAAACTACAGATGGACAATGAAGATCTCATCATCACTGCATCAAGCATCAGGTTTGAGAATTGCCTCCTCTACTAAAAGTAACGTAGATTCGTTCGTTCCTCGCTCTATAGAGAAAAATTCACGGCTCTATACTTTCCCCATTTAGGTTGTTGCTTACTATTAAGTTAACCCTAAACTTACACTGGCCGACGACGCACTTTTTTTTTTTTTTACTAGCCGTTTTTGTTTTAACGCAAAAACAAGAAACAAAAAAAAAAACCTGCAGAAAAAAAGGATAAAAATATTTTTACGCAGTTTTATGCGCTTTTTTTTAAGGCTTCACTTTTTTATATAAAAGAAAAACGAAAAATAAAATGCTTTTTTTTTTTTTTTTTTTAAATACTAATCATTGAATGAAAACAAAGGCCAACTGCGTCCTTTTTATTTTATTTTATTTTTATCTAAAGAAAAGGAAAGAAGGCCAAAGTTATCGTTGTTTTGCTTGGTAGCTTCAGTAGTTGTACAAAAAAAAAAAAAAAAAAATAATGATAGCAGCAGTGGTTCTACTTGTACTTCTACCGACAAAACTAAGTTATTACTTTATTCCAACCATAGAGTAAAGCAGGAAAAAGGAACCAGTATTAGTATTTTTTTTTTTTTTAAATCTTATTTTCTGCTCTCTCGCGGCATTTTTCTTCTCTTGGGTATGAAATGAAGCATCTTTTTTTTCCCTACATCTTCTTTAAGCTGGATGCCCTTTCCTGCTTCTATCACTTGTGGTTTTCGCCTTTTGCCAAATTGGACCTATTACCTGAAATTGTTCTTCTTGTGCCTCCTAAAACCTGGACTTGCATGATTGCATGCACTTGTTGCCAAAGAAAGAAGAGAATAAAAATCGAGCTTCTTTTTAGTTTAATAACATATTCTTCATGTTACCTTCGTTTATTATATATATATAAATCATTTTCTCTTTTGTCTCTCTCTGTCAATGTTATAGTTAATGTCAAGTATGTATGTATTAGGTGCGCCTGTTGTCTAGTGTTGTGTAACTGTAATTTATTCCTGGCCTATGAAGTCTCTATCATTCATATTCCTACTACTAGTTGTGAAGTAAGTAGTCCTATCTTGTGGGGAAACACCAGAAAGGTGGATTTTTGTCGATGATCTTAAATGCACGCATACACAGTTGTGTGTATCGAGAGGAAACACCGTTTCTTTGTGAGTTAGGCTTCTTCAGTGTTGTTATTCAAATGTTGATTTATTTGAGGTTGTATTTAGATATTGTGTCGTTTTCTGTGTTTTCATTACATTTTGAGATTCAATTAAATGTTTTATTTTTTATTTTATTTTTTTCTTCTTCCTCGCCTTACTGAAAGAAATATAGGATTTAAAAAGGCGGTTCAAATTTGGGATCTACAAAAACATTTGAGGAAAGACTGGAAATTTATGGAATTACATGATCAAGGCTTTTTACAATACTGGATTTTAAAAATTATGCATATTGCATCTCTACGATTCCGCTCAAGAAACCTGGAATTACTTCTGTGATTAACGTGTGGAAAAAAAGAAGAAAAAAAAAAAAAAAAAACAACAAACAATTGATTGATGTGATTTCTTTTAAGAGAAACTAACTTCATTTTTCTGCGTATATTGGCAACCAGGTAAAAAAAAAAAATAAAGCATACACACAAAAAAGAAAAAAAAATTCTTGCATATACATCACGGTTTCGTGTTGGAAAGAAGAAAAACGATAACCACGTCAACAAGTGAAAAAAAATAATGTTTTCAACTTTTTTCTTTAATTTTTTTTTTTTTTTTTTTACCGCGTCTTGTATTTTTACACGCCATTTTTGACAGCATGGTTTTAGAAGGTCAAAGAAATCGAGTATATATATATATATAACACAGACACACTATAAAACAGCTTTTTGAAATAATCACATTTTTTATGATACCACTACTTTTTAGTAATTTTTTCTTTAATTAGTTTACGATTTCTTGTTTCATTTGGGTACCTACTACATACATTTTTGAATTTTGGTTAATTCTCTCGGCTATTAAATAGCGTGATTAAGTTTTTACTTCTTGTTGCTTTTAGACTAGTTTTTGATAGGAAAATAATCATGCTGTCAGATCCTGTAAAAATAAGGCCTGTATATGCAATATGAAACAAAATTTGCTATCTAATGAGAAATTGTGGCATAGCATTGATTTTTTTTGTTTGTCGTTGATTAGGTGAAAGAAAATTTTCTTTCATTTTGTAAACAGAAACTTCAGATCTAATGATTATTTTTCTTAATCTTAAATCTCAAAAGATACTAAAAAGTTGTATCGTTATTATTTGTTGAGCAATTCTTTTTGTCTACCTCACGCTGCCTTATCAAGCCCTTTTACACACCACGTTGCTTCAAATGGGGGAAAACAATGTCTCCTCCTCTTTCTTTTCTCACGCAGTGGCTGGCTATATAAGACAAACAGATTTTCCTCTCCTTTTAACTTAAAAATGAAATTGAGCAAAATATTATCTCTTATGTTTTTGTTTAAAATGCAATTATGAAGAAAAAAAAGTGCATTTTCTTAATTTTCTTGTTGATCAAATGATGTTTTAAGTGATTCTCTGTTCCTTTTGAAAAACGGTAAAAAATCTTTTGAAGATTCTTTAAAATACTCAATAGACGCTGATTCTCTTTTTGGCTTAAACTTTTAAAATAAAAACTATTTTCTTTATAGAAAGAAAATCACTTGGTACATTAGTTTTAAAATAATAAAATTATGGATAATAATGCGTTTAAACAGTTTTTTTTTTCTATGGTACTGGAAATAGTTTTCAAAAGGAAGGAGAATTGTTTTTTACTTTTATTTTCAAAGTACTTTTTTTTTCTCTAAATAATATAAAAAATCATAATTAAAATGTAAAGTTTTTAAAAACGAAACATTTTTCTTTTGGGTATGTGGATTCGACTGGCTTTAAAAAACAAATACTTGCCTGCCTTAACCTTGGAAAATTTTAAGTGTGTGTGCTGCATCATCGACTAAAAAGTGACTAGAGATTGTTTCTCCGTTTTCGTAGCGAAAAAATATCTTGTCACTGACTCTTTAAAGTTACTTTCAGTTTGACAAGATTTATTTTTGCATTCTTAGGCCTATATGTTTAGCAACAGGCATGGAGAGGCAACTGTAGATTTTTCCCTGACCCTCATTCTCTGTTGGGTTTTAGAGAGTAAGTTAAATTTAGCTTATCCAAGCTATGATGATGATAATCGATTACCATCATCGTTACTTTCCCCGCACTCATTTTCGATATAACATTTCTGGGAATCAGAATTCCTCTTTGTTTTGTTGTAACCATTATTCAGCGATTTCGTTTTATTATTTTAGTTTTAGTAATAATTCATTACTTTTTGGGTTCTAAGAACAGTTTTTTTTCACTTTTTAATTTTTCATTCACCTTGATTTAATTACTATTTATTATTATTATTATTATTATTTTTTTTTTATCTCGGTTTCGGAAGTAAAACACTGTCTTCGTCTCCCTAGAGATGACAATGATTTAAAAAAACAACAACACACAAACGAACAAAGATGTTCCATAAAGTAGTTATTGTTTTTAAACTGTTCTGTTCCTTTGATCATTTTTTTTTTTTTTAAATTAGTGTAATTTTTTTTCTGTTCCCTTCCGACTTGTTGCCGTCGTCAGATGAATAACAGTCTCAAAGGAAACTGTCTAATTAATTCTTTCAGTCTGTTTTCCTGTATAAATGATTGGAATTAAAGAATTAATATAGAAATAGCTTTTGTTCTGTTTTCTAGTTACTGTTATAATGACTGTAGTTAGTACATTGGATCATCATTTACTAAATGGAAACCAAAAGATGGGTTTTTAGATTCATTTATTTAATTTAATATTAAATAAATGAATCTGTTATGCTTGTTAAATTAATACGCATAACGATCCTATTATTTTGTTGTACCTAGACTGGTATACAAGTCACAGTTGAATTGGATTTTTTCTTAAAGACGACTTGTCCATTTCTCATTGGCCGCATACCCTCGTCTCTAAAAAATCATTACCTTCTTCTTCTTACTTTAACTCTTTCCCATCTCACCGCTACTTCATAAACGTGTATCAAAAACAAAATCCATTTTTACTTTCTTGCTTTTTTTTTTTACATTGGTTTCTTTTTCTTTCATTTTTTTTTTCTTTCTTTTTTGTTCTTGTCTTTCTTAGCTTATAGCTAGAAAACTAAGTTTCTACTATGATCGCGATTGTGTCTACTAAACGATGGTCGACATCTCGTTCTTTCATGAAGATCCCCCTCTGCCAATGCTTCAGTTAGGAATGCTGAAATTTTAACTGCTTCTTCATTTCAAAGATAAGAATGAAACAAAAATTATTTATAATTACTACGTTTGTATTTTCGTCCTTTTTTTTTTTTTTTGGTTTCCATGTGAAAGTGACCGCATGATGACATTAGAGAACATATTCGTCGTCGGGTTCAGGGGGAATAAGTCTTTTGTTAGAATTAGCAAAGTAAAATCGCGAAAATCGAATTATCGTACAAAATAAAAAGTTGATCATCTCTTTAATTTTTGGGACAGATTCAAATACTTTTAATTTTAACGTAATTTGATATGTTTGAAAAACAAAAAACAATCACCTGGAAAAAAAGCGTTATTGATGTTCATTACTTTTGTATTTTCACAAAAAGCCAAAAAAAGCTAATCACGAATTTTTTCTTATACATTATTAAAAATAAAATGTTGAATTTTACATTTTCAAGAAAACTTAATTGCACACCGAAAGAGGTCTTGAATAGTTAAACACACACACACACACAAAAAGAAAAATTACACTTAATGACCTAAAATAAAAGGAATTGGTGAACCAATAAAAAAAAATGTATCTTGTTTAAGTAAGTTATTCAAATTAAGAGATTTTGTTTGTTTACATTTTAAAATCAATTTTCGTTTTAATTAAAATTTATTGTTTCGTTAAATTTAATTTAAACAATCGCAAAAATATTTTTATGCAAAGAAAGAAAGAAAGAAAGAAAATTCGATGATTAGAGAA